TGTAAAAAAGCATTATTAACGTCTAATTGTTCAAGAAACCAGTTTTTGGTTTAATCAATTGACTCCCTTTTTATGTAAAATTGAGTCAATTATGACCTTGTCATTAATTGTTGTTGACATCATTAAATTTATTGTCTGATGGCATGGTGAGGTAGCATTTAATAACCACATGGCACATTAAGATGTCATTACGTGGATTTATTTGATTTTAAATTTAAAAAAGTTTAAAATATGGTAAATTTAATAAAAAACAGAACACAAAATTGATTTCTGGAAATGAAATTAAAAGGTATTAGGGTTGAGTTTGGTATTTTGGGGTTAGATATTGAGTGTGTGCGAAATTAGGGAAAATTGGGGAAAATAGGGTTCGTGGGTTCGTTGTTATGGTTTCGCAATTGGGGAACATTAGGTTTTAGTGAGAAATTAGGTTTAGATAAAGTTTCGTTCTAGGAAATTGGCGTCATCTATCAGTGGTTTTTCTATGGAATCAGCTAGTTGTTGGTGGTGAATCACGTGAAAGGCTTTCGCGAAGTTTGTTGGAGGTGAATCACGTGTTGAGGTTAGTAAATCCGTTTTGGGTTTAATTGTTTGTATATTTTATCCTTTTATGGTTTTTCGACAATGTTGCATGCTCATTCTTGTTTCCTTGTTAATTGTAATCTGGTCCCCCATGTTTAACGTGTTGTTAGAGTGCGTTTTTGAAGTTGTGCTTTAAATGGCTGTTGCAATGTGGTCCCCCATGTTTGTTTCTTGTGCTTTTAATTTTGTTTAACTTTTGTTGTCGTTGGCCCCCATGTTTCGTTGTCGTGGTTTTAATTTTGTATAATTTTTGTCGTTGTTGCCCCTGTTATTATTTTATAGGATAAATATTGTTATACTATTGTACATGGAGGATCAGTTTCAAGTTGTTTTCCACCATGGAGGACAGTTCTTAAATGATGGGCCACTTAAGTATGAGGAGGACAGTACAACTTTGTCTTTTGACCCAGACATGTGGAGCTACTTCCTTGTAGTCAGTGTAGTAAAAGGACATGGATATGATGGGTTTAAGAACTTGTCGTATTCTGTAGGGGGGTTCTATCTTAGATAATAGGTTAAAGCCTTTGTGGTGAGAATATAAGTATAGGTGGTGATGACTGTCAAGAGCAAGCTGATGGTGACTGTGAAGAGGAAGGTGATGGTCAGTGTCAATAGCAAGGTAATGGTGAATGTGAACAACAGACTGAAATAATAGGTGAGGTGAATGATGTGCAAGTTGAGAGAGGTGAAGTCCATGGCCATGGTGAGGAGGGTGACTGTGAAGAAAGTGTTCCTGTTTCAGAAGAAAGATGTGAGGGTGATGATGTTGTTCAAGGTGAAATTGAAATAAAGTATGATGTGGGTGAGTGTGAAGGACATGGTGCTGATGTTCGTAGTTGGAGTTCTAGTGGTGGGGATGTCAATGTTGATGGCAATCTTGATGTTAATGATGACTGTACAGAACACCTGGTTGACTATGATATAAAAGATGAGGTAGGACATGGAGTTGGAAATTGCTTTGGTGATATTGAAGTTGATGTGCAATATGGTGGACCATCATGGACTCAAATGTCCAATAGTGATCTTGATGATGGCATAAATGATAGAGGTCTGTCCAATGATGATTGGGAGTCCGAACAATTAGTTAGTGGAGCAAAAAGTGATGGAGATGATGATGAAGAAGAGAGTTATGGCAAGTTGGTAACATTTTGTATGCCTAAAACAACTGTGGATTACAAGTGGGATTTGGGCACTTATTTTGCTTACAAGCAAGATTTTTTGGATGCCATAAAAATGTATGCAGTAGTAGAAAATGATAGAAATATAAGATATCTTAAAAATGATAAGAGAATTAGGGTCAAATGTATGGGTGCTAAAGTAGTTGATGTGGAAGGTAGCTACAACAACCCATCCACAAACATGGGAAACCGAAATGAGAAAAATAAAAGAGGTCAACAAATGAGGCTTTTAAATACTTAATCAAAATTTCTCACAGGTTTGTTTTTCATTATATGTTGTGTCTGATGTAGGGATGACCAAAAAATTTGCGGGCATGGGTATCCGCAGCGGGTAGTTACTATCCACGGATATTTAATACCCGTAGGTAATAGGTAACGGGTATTTTAATACTCGCTTCTAAACGGGTCGAGTACGGGTAGTATACTACCCAACCTACAGATACCCGTTACCAGCAAAAATAATAAAAAAAATTAGTTTATAAAATTTTTAATTAAATTTAATTAAAAATAAAATAAAATTATATTTTATTAGGTTAAATTTAATTAAAATTAAATTTTAATTTATATTTAATTTTAATTTATATTATATATATATATATATATATATTGTAATTTTATTTAAATTTTATTTTAAAAATGTATAAAATATTTTTTTGCGGGTACCCGCATGTTTTAAAATACCTGCGAGTACCCGCAGGTTTTAAAATACCTGCGGGTATTTTCTAAACGGGGACAGTTTTATCCGGCAGGTCGGGTTGCGAGTAGGCACTATCAGTGCCCGACCCGACCCATTGCCATCCATAGTCTGATGCAATTCATACCTTTAATAGTGGTAGACTTTGATACTAATATTTCATAACCTGTTGCAATGTAGATACTGGTCATGATCAAGGTTTGCCATCACATCTAAATGTGATACATTGCTAAACAACATGTCAGAGGCATTCAACAGTGTTATGGTGCATACAAGGTCTAAGCCAATCATAAGCATGTTGGAGGAGATTCGACTTTACTTGATGAAGAGATGGACAACAAATAGAACAAAAAGTAAATCATTGTCTGAGGTCATTTGTCCTAAAATCAAGACTAGACTTAATAAGGAGTCCTAGTTAACTAAATATTGGATTCCATAACTTCTTGCCAGAAATCAACCTAATAACGTGTTGTGAACCCTAACTAAACACAACAAAGTAACCTAGCAAATGAACCGATCATGCCATCATTAAATGAGGGTCAAGCATAGGAGGGGAATTGTAATGTTTATCTCACTGCTTTGAACAATTGTAATGTTTCTGTGACAAAATTGGAAAATTGTAATGTCTGTCAAATATTTTTGTAACCTTTTACTCATCTGAACAATTTCAGCACTTTATTAATGTTTATGGAATGTTATCTTTGCTTTCAGAATGTATGAATTCCAAATGTTTGATATTGGAATGCCAAATGTAAAAGGATCAATTTGACCATTGTGTTAATGAATACTTGCCTCTATAGCATTTTCTTCTTGTTATGAACTTAATGAATAGCCAGGGATTTCCTCCAAATGGTCATTTCTATATGTTTCCATTTTTATATATTCTTTTCTGACTTACTTGCCTCCAAATTAATATATAATTAGCCTCATCCTCACCGCCTTTAGTTCATTGTGACAATAGTAGATATTTGGTTCATTGTCAGATTAAAGTTTGGTTTGGTCCTCATCAACATCAAACAACATTACCATTACAACATATTAGATTAAAGTTAGGTTGACTGTATTCAAATTGCATTACTCCATTAATTATGTAACTAATTTATTAAAGTGAAATTTCAATCATCCCATTCTTAGCCATAAACAAATATCATATTCCATAAGCACAACTCAATTACTTAGTCATAAACACATAATCCTGAGTTTTTCACTTACGAAACAAGTCTTCATTTGATTAAAATAGAACAAACCTACAACAAAGTTACAACAAATCATCCAATTCTCATCAACATTGAAACTAAAATTATCTCTATTACACATAAAACAAAAACCAACAATATCAACACCTTCATCCACTTTTGAACAATGAACACAAATTTCTATAAATTAACTATCATTTTCCTAGTAGTCTCCATTTCTTCACTTCTTTGTTTCCTTCGCTCTTCACGTAGCTACCCCTTTCGTCAAACCGAACATCAGTGCACCATTTGAAGAAGTTGCAACCAGTGTCTTCACCACTATTATGTAAAGACAACAATCAACGACGATGTCATGTTCTCAAAAACAGTACCACAAATTAATTAGGTTGAAACTAACATACCTTATACTTGGAGCATCCCCAAAATTGCTTGCCTCGATTCTTCATAGTTTTTGCAGTTGTCACCACAGATCTTTGTCCACAATGGCAAATCGATGAACAAACAATAGGGTTTTCCTTTTGCCAGACATCGCATGTCGACAAACAGCAAGAATGCTCCTTAGACATCCTCTTCAAAGAAGAACAAGTACAAGCTCGATCACCACCACACCCACCCGCGTCGCACAACTACAAGCTCGATCACCTAAAGCACCCTTTTCAATTAGGGATTTTGAGCTTTAGATTGAGGGATTTAATGAAATCCAAATTGTTTTCCATTCTTACTTAAAATAAATCGATGTAATGACCTCTTACTATGTTAGGTGGTTATTAAATGCGAGCTCACCATGCCACCATACAACAAATTTAACACCATTCACAACAATTAACGGCAAGATCATAATTGACTCAATTTTACATAAAAGGGACCCAATTGAGCTTTTTGAAAATACGTGAACCTAATTAACACGAATTTGCACAAATAAAAACCTCCGAAATGATTAAACTTTTTCCTTTATAGTTCGACAATTTTTTTTTAAATGTTTTTTACTAGTACATAATAAATTGCGTTTTAGAAATATAATATGGACAACTTTAAAATATAAATCACCTGAAATTTTTTTCTTGTTAAAATTTTTTTATAGTTAACGATTATATACAAATATCATATTTAAATACAAATTATACCACTACGATTATTTTAAAAAAAAAATCACAAGAACAAAGACGTTTTTTCTTTCAACAAACTAGAACCAAAATTTACCATGAGGAAAAAAGCAAAAGATATTCAACCCATATTTTCCTTATTTTTATGTTATTTTGCTATTGCCAATACAAATTTTAGAATTTCCTCACTCCCTCATTTTTTATTTATTTATTCTTGAAAAGAAAGGATATAAGAGGCTCCAACGATGCTTAGTTTCACGGCGCTAACTAAACCTAAGATTGGGCCATAGCTGAACAAGTTGCCAGGGAAAGTAGTGAACACAGTGCATTAACCCCCAAACGACAGGACTAAAACCAAAACCAAAACAAAACAAAACATGTTTCTACAAAACGTTATAATCTAAGAATCTAAATACCTTTTCGTCTACCTCCGAGCGTTGCTACCTTTGTTTCTCCACTCTCCGCACATGGCCGTCGTTGGCGTTCTCGCGCTACAAGGATCATTCAACGAGCACATAGCTGGCACGTTCATCTTCCTTTTCATTTTTCATTTTCCATTTATTCAAAGTTTTGGTCTCATCTTCATTCTCTTGTGGTTGCAGCTCTTAGAAGGTTAGGGGTGAAAGGTGTGGAGATTCGAAAACCGGAGCAGCTTCACACCGTTTCATCCCTCATCATCCCCGGTGGAGAAAGCACCACCATGGCTAAGCTCGCTGAGTATCATAACTTGGTCTCTTTCTAAACGCTTTTTAATTGTTAGGTTAAATTATTCGCTTGCTCCTACTCTTGCCTTTGGTTTAGGTAAATTTTAGTCTCTATACCACAAAAAACTGTGACTTTAGTTCTTATGGGACAAAATTAAGTTTGGTCTCTGATGTGCATGTCATAGAAGAATTTGTATTAATGTAGAACTGTTTAAAAACGTTTTGGTGGGGATGAAAAACTTCCAAGAAAACTGTTTTTGTAACTATAGCTAAAACTTGGTTTTCTTGTATAGGGATGAAAACTAATAATGGGGACAACTATAGCAATTTTTTATGTATTTCTCTGCATCTGTTCTTGTTTTAAATGGAATTTATATGGGCAATTTTTTATGTTTCTGTTGTAATGTGGTGGTCTAACTGTTCATTTGGTCCTATACTTGTGGTCATCTTTTACTCTCTACACGACAAAAGAGTTATTCGAATATTGCATTCGATACATTTTGGCTACCTACTCTTTCGTATCACAAGATGAACCTTAAATGAATTTGTATCTTCTGTTATGATAATGAATCTATGTAATTTGGAATCACCGATACGATTCACTCGATTATGATACTTTTACCTTTTTACTTATTACCAAAAAAAAATAAAAAAGTCATGTGGGCTTAAATTTTTAAAAGAGAATTCTGATACAAAATTACAATTCACAATTCAAAATATAATTCACCGATTCATGAATCAATATCCTTTAGAAAACTATAATTTTCAGTCCTTACAGGTGCATAAAAGTTATGTTTTAGGATCTTATGCTGGCGTCTTAGAAGAATTCCTAATGTTGTAAAACTGTGATAAAAACTTTTTGATGATGATAAACTGCAACACAATTAAGGATTTTTGAATTGTATTCCGTTCTGCCTTTTAATTTTGTTTTATATAGTTTTCATGAGTCCATGCTATCAGGTATTTAGTACGGTTACATGAACACGGTTCATGTAGGTATGTGGTTAATGTATTTTTAATTATTATTGCAAGACATGCTATAAAAGAGAATCTAGTATCTGACACGTGGTGCAGTGAATTTGGTACTGTGTTTAAGGTTATTGAGAGTTTTGTAACTTTGGTATGGGTAAAGGTGATAGACAAAGATGAATGATGTAAAGAGAACCAGATTTTATGTTTTTGTGACTATGAAAGACTGAATTTTAGATAGTGCTGATCTTTATACCCTCTACTGTTTAAACTTTATGCTCTTGGAAGCAAGTGGTGATTCTGGTGTTGGTGATTTATGTTGGATGTTTTTATTTTTTTAGTTTCCTGCTTTGAGAGAGTTTGTAAAATTGGGAAAGCCTGTTTGGGGAACCTGTGCAGGGCTTATATTCTTGGCAAACAAAGCTATAGGTGTGTAGTTTCTGTCTTCTCCTTTCTTCCCTTGTGTTGAATTTTAGACAAGACTAGGTATCTTAAATTTTAATTTATTGTTCTCACATGAAAAATAGGTAGTTGTTTAAAGTATTCTAATGACAAACATAATTTCAGGACAGAAGAGTGGTGGACAAGATTTGGTCGGGGGACTTGATTGTACAGTGCATAGAAATTTCTTTGGAAGCCAGGTAATGCAAGAACAATTCATTTTAAGATATATTATATCAATGAAACAAAACGTATATCAATTGCTGGACGTGATAATTTCAACTTAGCACTCTTTTTGTGTGTGGGAGTAAAAGGATAGGGTTATTCTTTAAATGGCATAACATTGAACATGTGATTTTTCTTAATGGTGCCAACAGAGAACTCTTCGGTTCTCTATTGTCATTGTCAGTGATTAAACCATAAGGGCACTAATACATATCTTAGTGAAGCGTTACAACTCTCTTCCTTCCCTGTTCCTATTTCCTTCTTGAGTCAAGTTTCTTATTAACTTGAAGTGTCAAAATCTAAATTATTGCAAATGTTCAGAACTTTTGGAATAGTTTGTTTTGCAAAAACAGCTTCTGTTGTTTTAAAACATTTAGCAATTTTACCATTATAATTTTTAAAGATCCATGTAATATGGCTATGTGATGCATAAAACTAAATGAAATTAACATACAAGTTTGTTTAGATTCAAAGCTTTGAGGCAGAGCTTTCAGTGCCACAGCTTGCCTCCCAGGAAGGTGGTCCTGAAACATTTCGTGGAGTTTTTATTCGTGCACCGGCAATTCTTGAAGCAGGGCCAGAAGTTCTAGTGTTGGCTGATTATCCCGTATCTTCTGATAAATTATTAAGTTCTGACACTTCTACCGAAGAAAAAAAGGTTAGTTATTGAGCATTTGTCAATCCTTTTTGGTTGTTAGTTGTTTTTCATTACAGATCCATTAGAATTTAAAAGGGTCATGTATATAATGAATAGAGTGGCAAAAGAAATGCAAGAGTTAGTAAAGATCAAATAGACATTGTTGATAATTTATATTTAGGACTTCTGTTGGTGATGTTATTGGCGGGATATAAGGTGTATAATTCTGTTTATGAAACTGGTATTTTGAGGATGGTTGAATTTTAAGCTTGGGAGGTTTGACTCTGGAACATATTCAAACCTGTACCATGTTGTTTCTAAGTTCCTTTTCGTTCAGTGGCTTAGTTTGGGATTAAACTCTCATGTGAGCAAATCCAAGATTTTGAAGGGTAAACTAAAAGAAGAAAGGAGTAGATAAATGAAAGGAAATCATTGATAGATAGAAGTGATAGGTATATAAATGTTCAATTCTTTTGAATTTGGAACACTATTATTCGATGATCATTTTTAAGAAGTGGATTTTAAGCCTAACTTAACTCCAAAAAACCGGTTTTGAAGGTGAGGTTTGCACTCACTTATATACTTGAAATTTGCCTCATCTCTAGTTGATGTAGGACTTCCAACATATTCCCCTCACGCCGAAGTATATACATTTTGAGCGTGAGACTAAACATTAATGGGTAGTTGGATAACGGCTCGATAGCGGGTGGAATAGTATGTTCAACAAACAACAAATATCGTTAGGATAGGTTCTAACCATAGCTCTAATCATTTTAAGAAATTGACTTTAAGCCTAACTCAACCCTACAAAACTGGCGTGTAAGATGAGGTTTACACTCACTTATATAATTGAAATTGGCCTTATCTCTAGTCGACATGAGACTTCCAACGATCCTGACTTCTTTGCATTTACCTATTTGTATGCTTATTCTCATTGGAACAGTCTCCTTTAGCGAAAACTGCTCATAACAGTGTTCCTTATCAGATACTTAATTTCCAAACCAATATGTTGGTTTCATTTTCCTATCCTGAATGAACTACTCATATACCTTATCATTAGATTTAGTACTATAGTAACATGTATAGCAGATGCATCAGTGCCTTTCAGCATTGTATGTTATTGCTGATCCATATTTTATCATTAAAAAAAATTGTCATCATAAACTGCTAGCTGAGTGACATTTGCAACATTCGTAAGATGACTATAATATTTAATTTTGAGGTTGAAGTGTAACTATCATGAAATAGAAATTTTTCTCTGCCAATTGGTGTGATACAATAACTGCTGAAGTTTTGCTCTGGCTATTTGATTTTGACCACCATACGTTTAACTTGTTTGCTTAAGAGGCCTTAATACTTGATGCAGGTGATATATAGGAAGCAATCTTGTAATGTTATGGTTTCAAAACCTCTAAGCATTTGAAAAAGAAATGGTCTAACAATATGATTTTATTTAACATTGACATAATCTCTAGCTCTTTGCTTGACAAGATTGTTATTTCTGCTAATCTCAAACAATCTTTCATACTATAAACTAACAGCTCTTATTTTCCTTAAAGAAGTTTAATGCTAACAATGCCTTCCAATTGGCTCGGGAAATTAATCAACTTTCTTATTATTAATGTCTTGGTCTTTTGTAAGATATCTCCACAGAAAAGAAAGAAAAATAATGCTCAGACAGAGAGAATAATAGAATTCTAGAGGGAAACAGAATTTCTTGTATATTCGCTGCCTTTCCAATCATTTGTATACCTCTATATAACAGCATACATGCTACGCGAAAAAGTAAAAATGACAAAAGGAATAAAGTTAGTTATGATCCTAAATCCTTCTAGAACCATAACACTGCCAAATCATCAATTAGTCACGTAGTCGTTGAGGTGTGTGGGTTTCCTTCGGATTCTTTTGGGTAATTCTCCTCTGTCCACGTTTTCTTGATCCTGTGTTGGGCCTTGAGGCTCTTCATCAGTAATGGGCCTAACATCTCCTTCCTCTTGAAGAGGCACCTTGTCCTCAAGGTGAAATTGAGCCTGGATTTGGGACCAAAGTTCCCAGCTAGCCTCTTCAAGAGGTAAACCCTGCCAGTGTATGAGTACCAATTGTTGGGGGTTGTCTTGATCCTCGGACATCTTCCAATCCAAAATAGTTGCAGGGATAAGGATGGGTTGGTTGTCCACAATATCTGGAGGAAGGTTCAGGGGGCGGGGGGTGGTGGGGAAGGAGTTGGCCCCATGATGTGGGTCGGAGGAGGCTACACATGGAAACATTTGAATTTGTGCTGAAGCACAGGAGGTCCAGTTATAGGCCACTTCACCTATTTTCTCTCAAAATTTTGATGGTCCAAAAAACCTTTTCTGCAGTTTACCAAGGTATGGACCCGTAACTGAGTGTTGTCGACGTGGACGGAGGCGCACGTAAACCCAATCCCCAATTGAAAATTGGAGATCCCGACGATGCAAGTCTGCCCACCGTTTCATAGCCTCTTGAGCCCTCTTTAGATTGGAATGCAATTTTTTGATAATGGCATCCCTAGATGAAATCTCAAACTGAACTGCTGTGCGTTAGAAGTGTCAATGTTCATGATATCGGGGATGCGGGGAGGATGCGAACATGATTCAAGGGTAAATGGTGTGGGTTAAGCCGGTTGGGACGTTTTGTGGTGTTAAACCCCATTCTGCCCATGAAGGAAACTTGGCCCCAAGAGGAAGGACGATGGTGCACAAAGCAACGTAAATACTGACTGCAACATTTGTTGGCAACCTCGGTTTTTACCGTCAGTTTGAGGGTGGTAAGCGGGTGGACATCCTCCATTGGTCCCACTAGGCGAAATAACTCCTCCAGAATTGGCTCAAAAAAATGGTGTCGCAATCAAGATTGCTAGAGGAAGACGGGTTTGTAAACTGCAACACCTGTGTACAAACATTCAGCAACTGTTGGCATCGGAGAATAACGTTGGTAATGTGCAGAAAATGGGAAAATGCGCTCCTTTAGAGAAGCGATCGACAACCACTAGGATGGTACTCTGTCCTTGATAGGGTGGCAGACCAATAATAAAATCCAAGGATAAATCATCCCAGCAACGAGAAGGTGGAGGAATTGGTTGTAGCAACCCTGGTGGACGTTGTGTGGGTATCTTAGTCTGCTGGCATGTGATACATTGGCTCACAAAAGTCTGCACATCCTTCCTCATGTGTTCCCAGTGAAAATTTGCTTGAAGTTTGGATAGTGTGCGAGTGATCCCTGGATGGCCTGCTAAAGGAGTAGAATGAAATTCATGTAACAACAAGGGAATCATACTACAAGATTGAGGCAACCATAGTTTCCCTTTGAAGAGTATAAAATCATCGTGCAAGGAATACCCAGGGAAGGATAGTGGTGATGCAAGAAGCTTTCCTTTGAAATCTAAGAAATCTTTATCTGCACTAAGAGAAGACTTGAGATCTTGTAAAAAATCCAATTGTGTGATGGAAATAATAAACAGGGAAAAGGCATGAGTAGAGGGAGTTGGAGGTACTCTAGAGAGTGCATCAGCAACGGTATTAGTTTTGCCAGATTTATAGTGAATTTCAAAATCATATCCAAGCAACTTTGCCAAATATGATTGTTGATCTGGAGTGAGGACCGCTTGGGAGAGCAAGTCCCTGATGGATTGTTGATCAGTATAAATGATGAAATGACGACCCAACAAGTATTGACGCCATTTTTGTACTGCGGAGGTGATGGCACACAATTCCCTGATGTAAGTAGAAGAATTCCTCAATTTAGGACAGAATTGTTTGCTAAAAAAAGCAATAGGGTGGCCTTGCTGTGAGAGGACTGCACCCATTCCAGTTCCAGAGGCATCTGTTTGTATAGCGAAGGCTAAGTCGAAACGAGGCAAAGCCAACACCGGAGCATTAGTGAGAGCTTGCTTTAGGTTGTTAAAGGCCTCGGTAGCAGCTTCTGACCATATAAAATTATCCTTTTTCAACAAATCCGTGAGAGCAGAGGCAATAGAGGCATATCCTTTGACAAAACGTCGATAAAACCCCGTAAGGCCAAGAAATCCACGGATAGACTTCAAATTCAATGGGATGGGCCAATCGATAACTGCCTTTATTTTAGAAGGGTCTGGACAAACCCCTGTAGAGGACACCACATGGCCCAAGTATTGGATGGACTGTTGACCGATTGAACATTTAGAACCCTTGAGGCGAAAACAATGATCCAATAAAAGTTTGAAGGATGTCTCGAGATGAGCAACATGATCATCCAGTGTGGAGCTGTAGACGAGTATATCATCGAAGAAGACGATGATGAAGCGTCGAAGATGTGGTCGAAAAAGGTCGTTCATGGTAGCTTGGAAGGTGGAAGGAGCATTACACAAACCGAAGGGCATGACCTTGAATTCGAAATGACCATTGTGAGTTCTAAATGCTGTTTTTGCTGCATCGGATGGAAGCATCAAAATTTGATGAAACCAGATCCAACTTGGAAAACCAAGACGCATGTCCCAGTTCGTCCAGTAATTCGTCGAATGTGGGAATGGGAAATTTGTCCTTGACGGTGAAAGCATTGAGAGCCTGGTAATCAACACAGAAACGCCAGGTGCCATCCTTTTTTTAACGAGAAGGACCGGTGATGAAAAGGGACTAGTACTGGGTGTAATGAACCCTGATGCCAACATTTTCTGAACCTGAGATTCGATTTTTCCTTGTGGAAGTGTGGGTAACGGTATGGGCGAACGGAAATAGGTGGCGTATTGGGAAGGAGGTTGATGGTGTGGTCAGTTTGGCGAGAAGGGGGAAGTGATGTGAGTGTAGAGAAAAGGGTTGAGTATTGTTGGATTAGTTGTTGAAGTTGAGAAATGGTGGATGTTGGTAGTCCTGCGGTTGATGAAGCAGTGGTGGAAGAAGAGGATGAGGTGACAGGTTTAGGTGAGGGTTCTAAAGTAAGTTGGAAAAAGGCTTCGACGCGATTTGTTTGTTGGAGGCGTCTGAGTTGATGGGCGGTGATGGGTGAGGGGTTTGGACTTTGTTCGCCTTTTAACTCGACCATTTTATTTTCCCACATAAATTTCATGAAGGGCCCATTGTAGTCCATGATGAAGGGGCTGATCTGTGAGAGCCACTGGACACCCAGAATAAGATCTGTCCCAGAAAGATCAAGAGGGTATAGGTCCATGGGAAAAAGAAGGGATGCAATAGTAACGTGGGCCTGCGGGCAGAAAGATGTGCAAGGTAAAAAATCCCCATTACCAACCATCACACGTAAAGGGTTTGGTGTGGGTTCTAGGGAAAGATTTAGAAAACGGGCCACTCTGGATTGGATAAAATTAGGGGTGCCCACTGTCCACCATGATTTGAACCTCAATCCGCCTATGGATCACTGATTCGGAACGTCTTGGGGCCCATTGACCGAGAAGGAGTGTAAACTGATGAGACCGCTCTTTAAAGGAGTGTCATTAGGAGGATCAGCCACATCGGTGAGTGGATTGGTGGCCTCCCGTCATCAGCCACTATGAGGAGAAGAAACTGGGATTTGCAGCGATGGCCTCGCGTGTACTTCTCGTCGCAATTGTAGCAAAGATTTTTTTCTCTGCGGGCTTGCATTTCGGCCTCCGTAAGTCTCCGAATAGGTAATTTGGATGAGGGTGTTGGAAGGAGAGGGGGAAGTGGTTTAGGGTTAGTGGTAGCGGTAGGTGTGATGTGATTTGGGGGTGGTCGGGAGAATTTGGAAAATGGTGGTGATGATAATTTGTTTTTGTCATCGTGGAGTTTCGCAAACGCCACTGCTTGGGGCATATCGGAAGGTTGGAGAGCAGTAACTTCTCGTCTGAGGTGAGGTTTGAGGCCGGAAATAAAACAGCTAAGGTAGAAGTTAGAGGGATACCCAGAGATCCGATTAGATAGGGATTCAAACTCAGAGATGTATTCTTGAAGGGATTGCGTCTGTGAAAGCTTGCAAAGAGCAGCGATGGGGTCCTCAAACTTAGAAGGTGCAAAACGTAACTCCAAGGCTCTGAGGAAAGCTTCCCACGAGGTTAGGAGACTGTTGTTGTGCATCCATTGATACCAAGCTAAGGCGGGGCCCTCAAGGTAGAATGATGCTATTTGGGTTCTTTGATCTGGTGGTGTCTGGTGGTAATCAAAAAACTGGGTGATCTTGAAGATCCACCCCAATGCATCCTCCCCGTTGAATGAGGGAAGATCGAACTTGAGAGGTCGTGGAGGTAGTGAGGGAGAGTGCGAAGGGGATGAGGAAATTTTTGATTCGAGAAGGGAAGTGCGGGCGTCGATATCATGAAGGGTATTAGAGAAATTGGCTTGAGAAAGGAGAATCTGTTCCAATTTTTTGTCAAGGTGAGAAATGGCGTCAGAGTGGGAAGCCATGGAAGAGAGTTCTCTCAATGATAGCACCAAAAATGTAAGATATCTCCACAGAAAAGAAAGAAAAATAATGCTCAGACAGAGAGAATAATAGAATTCTAGAGGGAAACAGAATTTCTTGTATATTCGCTGCCTTTCCAATCATTTGTATACCTCTATATAACAGCATACATGCTACGCGAAAAAGTAAAAATGACAAAAGGAATAAAGTTAGTTATGATCCTAAATCCTTCTAGAACCATAACACTGCCAAATCATCAATTAGTCACGTAGTCGTTGAGGTGTGTGGGTTTCCTTCGGATTCTTTTGGGTAATTCTCCTCTGTCCACGTTTTCTTGATCCTGTGTTGGGCCTTGAGGCTCTTCATCAGTAATGGGCCTAACATCTTTTTCCCCTATTGAGTACACCTGGTTACATGTTGTTTTGGACATGACAGGAGAATGCTGAGGAAGAAAGTAAGGTTATTGTTGCTGTGAGACAAGGGAACATACTAGGGACTGCTTTCCATCCTGAATTGACAGCTGATACTCGATGGTAGATATAAGTTGTTTTTGGCTTTTTAATTTTACAATTTTGAGTTCTTAGCAGTTGTAATGATGTAATTTTTCAGGCATAGTTATTTTTTGAAAATGTCAAACGAGACTGGAGAAGAGGCTTCCTTAAGTAACCTTGTTCCTGCACAAGTCACCACAAGTCACTATCAACTGATCCGGAGTGACCTTCCTATCTTTCAATAGGACAATCAATACTCACCAAGCCGAACAATTGTGGTTGTTCTTTTTTTTTTTGAATTTTATTTCTTGAATTTGATGAGATAATTGTTGGATCTTAGAAGATAGATGTCTACATAGTATTTATTTTTCTTCTTCCTTTTTTCAATGTTGGAAAACAGTATTTATTTATTTTACATAGTTTGATGGTTATGATTGATGAATATCTGTCATATCTGATGATAAATATTTATTTGTGCAAGCTTATTATAATTGGGTTGATGGATTTTAGTTGGCACAAGCTTATTATAATTGGATTTTACATAGTTGACCCAAGCTTATTATAAAAATTGTTCACTGCACCAGTGTCATTATCTATTGCAGTCATTGAAGAAAAAAATCTCTCAGATAAAGTATTATTGAAGATTTTATACTATGTTCTACATGAAGATTTGATTTTGCTTAAAATGCAGGGTAGAGAGATACAAGTAATACTAAACATTCATTGGATTCACTTGAGAAAGACTTGGTCATCTCCCCTATTGCTAGGCAGAAAGAATTGGTATTATTATGTCATCAGTTAACAAAAGTTAACACCAATGTTGCGTGCTGTAATGATGTAACGTGCCTATATGAGGTTAACCCTAACTTGTCCATTATTCACATGCTCCTTCATTGGCTTTTAAATCGTGTTGTACACAACTTTGAAATCGTCCTTTAATTGGCTTTTAACAAAGTAGGGGGAGGCTCAAGTTAAAGATAATAGGTGTCTCATTATCACTTCTCTAAATTTGTTAGGTATTCATAGTTCATCAACATATTTTATATACACTTTTATGATTCTATTTTACCTTGTTTACTATGGTTTTTTTTATGCTTAATTGTTCATATTTGATTGGTTTTGATAAAAAAAAAAGTTAAAAGGACTTAATCATAAAAAGAATTTAATTGTTATATTTTTACTGACTTTGATTTTGGCTCTTTATTATAGGCGGATTTAGATATGAAATTGGGTAAGGAATTGAAAAGATGTCATTATTTTACTTAACAAATAAGATTTCGTCAAGTCAACACAACATTTAAGTGAAGAGAACAAGAAAATACTAGAACCATTCAACAAAGAATGATTCATCTAGTGAATGAGTAAGATTTGTAAATAACATATATAATTAACTATCAATATGTTTAAAGAAAGTATACATGCTTGATGAATCTTCTCCAAAGAAGACTTACTAAAGTAATAACCTATTTGTTAATTAAAACACAAATCGTTGGGAGATTGGACTAACTTTAGAAAAAATGCATAAAACAAAACAAGCTCGAAACTCAATTAGTGATGAGAACATCAGGAACATAATTAGCATAATGGAATATGGTAAACAAAGAAGAATGACACTACAAAAGACTAATAGAGAAATACAAGGGAAAAACATTAGAGCTTAAAGGAAAAAAAATTAGGAATTAAAAACACTTGTAGAGTAAAGAAATAGAATGGCACACTTGTGATTAACTAACTCATGGTTAAGATAGTTAAACGCATGCTTGCCTCTTACTATCTAATCATCATGTGTAAGGTTGTAGATTGTAACTTTCTCCATAAGTCAATCTCCAAAGGGAGCATCCAAGAGAAAGACAAAATTCTTTTTTGTTTTATTTTTGTTAAGTGGTGTTCAAACTCCTATCCTATAAATAAGGGCCCTCTTTGTACAAAGGACACTTAAATTTAAATGAAATTATATTTGTGAAAATTTTGAGCGTTTTGAGAGCATAAAACTCTTTCTAATGGGTTCTTATCTTGGAGAGCTTTTTCAAGTGTTGAATCTTTAATACACTTATCTTGGTTCTTTAATATTCATTGTCAAAAGAAATCAAAGGTACCCAAGCTCTAAATTTTATAATATAAAGCACAACCTAGATTGATTATCAAAGGATACTTGTCAAATTATATTTAATCATAAAACAAAAAATTGGAAAAGAAATTTAGAGATCAAATGCAAAAATTATAGAAAAGGAAAATGGATCAACCATAGATTCGATGATCAAACAATATGAAAATCACAGTTCTCTAAATATTCATATTCAAGTTTGAAAAATTAACTAATACAATTACTCAACTAAACTGGTCTATATAATTTAAATCTTAATACTATATAATCTGATTCATATTCAAATATTAAATCAAGATTCAATTGATTCCAAATTTGAATTCTAGTTTCAGAAAAATTGATATCACAAAGACCATAGTTGAAATTAAAGAAGATAAAAATAAACTTGGAACGAAAAATGATTGGTTTAAAACTCAATTCCGTTTGTTTTTTCTTGATTTCATGAATGCATCCTTAAAAATTTAATTTTTCATTAATCAAAAGTAGAAAACACGATGGAAAAACACTAAAAAAATATGAAAAGATAAAATGAAAACAAAGAGAAAAAGGAGAAAAGGAAAAATACCTAAAATTGTGGAAATTTGGTAAAATTATTTCTTTCCTCTCTCTTGAGCATATTAGGTCTTATATGTCATGAAATCTAAAGGAACTATGATGGAAATCACCCAAGGCTCTATAGCTTGGGCCAATGGCCAGACCATTTTATGTTCTTGTTTTTAAATATATAAATAAGAGTAGAAGATTTGTATAGACTTAGTATTCTTTTTTTTTTGTGTATTTAGCAATTTTGTTTGGGCTTTTATTTTCGGTCCATGTGTTCCTTGTATTTTGTTTGGAGCAAGAGAATCTTCGGCAACGTGTGTCATTTCCTTTATTGGCTTATGTTCTCCCTACATCTTCAAGGTTCTTCTTGCACCTCTAAATTTTTAAAAAATGTCACAAGTGGCCTTGGTAAAAAAATTTTAACCTAGGTAAATTTTTTAACCTTTTCACTCACCTAATAAATTCATTCACTCACCCACCATGAAGAACTAAAACCCTAGTCGTCGGTCCTCTACACTCTCTTTGTTATTCTTCTTCATCATAGACTTTTTCTTGTGCATCCTTTTATTCTTCTTCACGCACTTCTTCTTCTTTATTGTCTCTGCAGGTTGGTTTTTGTTTACATTTCTGATGGAAAACTCATAGCCAAGGATCCTATCACTAGAAGTATGGTCAAGCTCATATAAGAAAAACCATCTTTATAAGGAGAAACAAAGCTTTGCTTCACTTAGGCCATCATGGAAGATGAAGGAGTAGTACAAGATTTAAGGACATTCGACCATATAGTATAGGCTTTCTTTAGGCTTGTATTAAGGCTTAATTAGTGTAGGGTTTTCCTTAAGTTAGACATCCAAACCAAGTGAAAGTGTGTGTCATGTGTCATGCTTCCATTAGAGAAGAGTTGCTTTTAGAAATGGCCACATGACACTCTAGGAGTGGAGAGAATTTCTTTTTGGTAGTGGTTATATGTCCCTCCACCATTGGAGAGGATTTTTGAAACATGTCTCCCTCCTATTAGTGTGAAATTCTCGGCCAACACCATGTATAGTGGCTAGGTTTTCTTTTAGGTTTACAAAAGATGTTTTTAGGGTTAGAAGGAGATACCTTTGGCTTATATATAAAGGTGTCTCCACCCTTGTAAATCATCTTGGATTAATGTAATGTTATGCTGCCAATTTTAGGTCATACACTTCCTAGATCAATGCTAGAGCAACCCTAGAGGCCCCTCTAGTCACCTTCCTCATTATATTGACCTCACCTCTCTTGGAGTCATCATACATTACCACACCATCACCATATACTCCAAAACCGTGAGCATTTCACCTTGTCCAACCTTAACTATGTGACCTTGGATCTTATCCCCACCATATATCTGCACCAATCCTCTAAGGAAACACCCCTTCATGTACTTCTTCTAGCTTTGACTCAACCTAGCATAAGGAGGTTGTTATCAATTTCTTCATGGATGCACTTTATATATATATATATATATATATATATATATATATATATATATATATATATATATATATATATATATATATATATATATATATAT